TATTTAACGATGCGATAGGGGAATTTCTACGGATAATTTATTGTCGTAGAACTCATTATGAGCTTATTCAATCATTAACTTAAGAATTAAGCTTTATCAGAAAATTCAAATGGGAAAATTGTCACTGGCATTGCTAGGAAAGAAACTGTTGGAGTAGAAGTGGCGGTTGCATTTAGCTATTTAAAAAGTAAACAGGTAGGAACTTAATACGTAACCATTTCGTCCTAAGCAAGGTAATAAAGCCACTAAGGCGCAATGGATTACTGAGTTTTAAAGAATGGTAGAAAAGCACTATTAAGGAGAGAGAACAATAAATGAACAAGAATTAAGAAGGCAATAGATAATAAAAAACTCAAATATTTAACGACGTGACAGGAGAATTTCTACGGATATTTTATTGTCGTAAAACTCGCCATGAGCTTAGTCAGTCATTAACTTCAGAATTAAGAGCCATCAGAAAATTCAATTAGAAAAACCGTAAAATTTTCACGAGTTAAAACTACTACTGCTACTTATTATTATTATTATTATTGTTGTTGTTAAAAGAATTGTTTTGGAATAATAGAAAATAACTGATTATGAAGAATAAATAGCAAAAATAATTATTACAAATCTACCCCGGTGAGCGAAATAAAGGGTTCGATTCGACATTCCAACCACCTGTAGAAGGTCGGAGCGTACAACGGCCGAAACGTTGTGATAGATATGGCGAAAAAGATGAGGACAATAGTCCGAATAATGTAAATAATGTACATAATACCTCATCTCAGAAATATAGACAGACTACAAATTAAATGTTAGAATTCGAAACGCCAAATCCCACAAATGATGTTGGGAACCTTTCTAACTTCTCAGGTATTTTACAAGCTGTTTTTTTTCCAGATGTGTCCAGTGATTGTTAAATTCTCCAAACCATCTTTCCTTTTTATGTGTCATCATTATTTAATCCAGTCTTTTATATTCTGATTGTTATGAATAGTAAAAACTAAATATCCGGGTTGAAAAATTATCGTCGTACACTACCGCTGAAAACACCCGATCAAATCTTTCCAGTGCAACATTAGTTTATTCAGTTGCGGACTTCGTCAAATACTGTAGGCCAGTGCGTGTGTGGTGATCACTTACATGTGCCACACCTCCGCTTTCTTTAATGTCATTGGTTCGTAAAAATATGATACTTATTATATGACAATTTTGCCATCGCACGTAATTTGAAATTTTCTCTAAAATCACGGATTGGTCCATTTCCTGACCAATCGCGTATTTTAGTATCTTTTTATATTTTTGACGCCAAGCTCGCTGGAGCCTATCCATCGTTATATAAAGACTCTCGCTGTTTGCCAACAGCCAGTAGCAGTTCAATTCTTGGAAAATAAGGCACGGCGCTATATTGACATTTTAATTCTTAATTATTACTCAATCGAGTAATCATACTAATTCCTATTTATATCATTCATGAACATTACATCTTTCTACACTGATAAAACACTGTGGAACTATTCTTTATTTAGCTAAGACTTCAATTGAACTTTGTAGTTATATAACATTCAATATTGTACTCAACATTAATTAGCTAAACTTACCCTTTTTATTACGGAAAAAGGGAAGCAACTTTCTTTATACTATTGTTGATGTTTGTATATCATTGTTAATACAATATTTTATTAATGTTCACTGAGCTTGATTATTTTTTCTCTCGTGTTTGTTGCGCATTATTCATGTAGGGTGTTGTTTTACAAGAACACAGCTTTCCTTCTTGATTATATTCACGGTGATCCTAGACAACAATATTTACAGCACCACTACACGTGTGTAGCTTTGGAACATGGACTCTACATTCTTGCGAGGATGAATGAAACACTGTTCTACTTCTTCCTTTTCGGTTTTTCACACGCCTGCATCCGGTTTTACCCTCACGTCATACGGTTTTTCCCATCTGTGCATATCCTAGACGCAGCTTGGTTGACCATAGATTTACATATCCTCGAGCAGACACTGAAGCCCGGTGAAAATCAAATATGCACCCTGTGGCTAGGAGGTTCGTTTTCACGTCATTCGTGACTTCGTTGGTAGTCTGGTGTGACACTCAATGCAAAGTCTATTTTGTTATCATTTTCGGTAATTCACACACTAGATATTGCTCAAGACCCTTCTTTTTATTTATGACAAACATTTTCCAGCTTTCAATATCCCGAACTCTTCCGAACTTTACAACGATTACTTCGGTACTTATGTAAAAGCAGTCATAGTTGGTAATATTATCAGTGGCAGATGGCTATAGAGAAGGGCACGGTTTATTATTTACAGGTAATTTGTTTAAATAATGCACTGAATATTGTTTGCGTCACGTGACAATAATCGTAAGTAAATGGACTAAAATAAGTAACCAAGTAATCGTTTTAAGTTCTCTGGATATCGATCCCTTTTCTTATTATGCCTTCTTCGTGTCTCTTTTACGACACGTAGTAATTGTAAGTAAAATAATGCCTTAAATCCAGTTGTATGCATTGGGCAAGGTAACATGACAAACTCATCCCTTTTTGGTTTTGAATTAAGATTCTCCTAATGGTTTCTACATGATGGCAAAAGAGTACTGTCTGTCTTGTTATTTAACCCATAGTTGGAGGGTGATAAATGCATGCTTTTTGCGAGGACATTGGCATGAAGTGAATGGAACATAATCGAACGAGAATTGCACTCGGTATGTCGGTATTCAGTTTAGGCGCCAATAACTGTTACCCTGTTCACGTCTACTCATATAGAAGGGCAATACTCTTAGTTTTTTTTTTAAATTGCTGAGTGCTATATTCAGCTTCTAAAAATGTTTACGAGCCTGCGAATTTCTGTGTCAAGCTAAAAAATTGTTAACGAAACCAGCAATTAACACTCCCTTTTGATGAATTCACTCTGCAAAAGGCAAAAAAAAAAAAAAAACTATGGAAAAGCTACTTGCTTGTACATTAGATAGATTTTATATATATATATGTGTGTGTGTGTATATTAAGTTTTAATCGATGTATTTATCGTTTTGATCAGAACCAGTATAAACATGAGCTTTGTTCTGTTGACGTTGAAGAAACACAAATGGGCCTGAGTAGGATTAGCTAGCCATCATAGTAGATTCTGTAATCTCCCGAGACTGACGGATATATTACCAATAATGCGTTTGTTTAGTTATACAAATTGAAAAGGGTAATTATTTTTTTTATACAGATCAGTAGGTTCTTGGGTTGTCTTCCTTAAACAAAAAAAAAAAAAAAATGATGAATGACAAAGACAGTACAGTTCAAAATGTTTGAGAAGGGTAGAATCACGTCTTAATTGCTGCTGTCCCCAGGTCCACCCTGTCCCGTGGGAGAAGCATTTTGTTAGAGTCCCAGTTATGTGCAATTATTGTTCCCATCAAGCAAAAGTAGAACACTGAAAGTTTTTTTTAAAAAAAAAGTAAATAAGCACCAATCAAATTAACTAGTGAAATTTCTAAACGATTCATAATGTAAGAAAATAGCACCATTCATATATAAGAGTTATTCCCCTTTAATTTTCCATGTCTGGATTTTTCGGTGACTTGAACCATTTCGACGAAGTGAAAATTCGATTTTTTAACCCTTTCCAGTGAAACCAGTTTTTGAACAAATGATATTCGCTGTTATGAACCAGACACGAGGTCTGTCACATGATTGGAGTCAGTTATGTAGCCTGCCAGCAGAAGCCCCTCCATCCATCCATCTTTCTTTTTTTTTTTTTAATCGGTATCACCCCATGCAAGGCAAGTTACTAAGACATAAGGGGTTACAAGGTGCGGAAGAATTAAGGACAGAGGCATTGATAATGAGCAGGAAAAGAAAAGAGTAATCAAGAGGATAGTAGATTGCGTTTAAATTTTTGTAGATTAAAGTTGGCTGGAAAGCATGGAGCCGGAAGGGAGTTCTATAAGCAAGAAGTGCGATAAAAGAAACTGTTAGCATAGAACTTACGGCTACATCTAGCCTGCTCAAATGTAAATTGATGAGACCTCAACACTAGTGCTGCGCTTAAATCCAAAAAGTCTATTGTGCCATTGCCATTAGTTCTTTTGTGAAATGTTGAGTTACAGTTTCAGTTAGAACCATTTCATGGAAAAAAAAAGACGTTGATTATTTTTATTAATACATCCCATTCTTATGGGGGAACTTCTGTTATGGTACGGAATGATAATATTTCATCATTCTAAAAATAACCTTGCCATCAGTGATGATAGAAAAGAACGATATTTCATCATCATAACACTCATGGTTATAAAAAAAGACCTTTCCACCACATGGAAAGACCAGTAAACAAGTAGTAGTAGTCAATAGACTAGTAGACAAGTAGTAATAGTAGTAGGGAAATTCATGTCTTTGCCAGCACTCCATGAAGATCGAAAACAGACGATGTCAAACGCCATTCTCACAAACAAAATTCTCAGAACCAAACCATGTCAATGGCATGCTCACAAATGAAATTCTTGCAACCAAACCAAACCAAACCAAGTAAGCACTGTCTTTTAAACAAAGGAGACACTGAGAACATTTTTACAAACACTATATCAATATTCTGTAATTCACATCACAAAAAGTAAATACAAATTCTTGCTATTTATGTCAACATGTGTCTCAAGTTTTTATTGTTTATATTATTGTTCTACATTTTTAATTCATTTTGTTTTCAATATAAAAAAGAGATAAGGATTCCTCCTACACTACAGTCAGCAAATATATATAACAATGGGTTAATTACTTTAACAACACTCAAATAAAATCAAGTCAGGATTATCATTACATCAACCCTAACTTACCTACCCTGTTGCAAAGAGCTCATCCGAACAATTCTCTGATAAGATTCTGTCAACAAAAGATAAAAGCTTTGATTTTGCACCGTGATTTTAACTTATCGGCATTTTACAAATCCCATCCTACTATAAGCTTTAAAGAGCTGATTGGAAAACGAAAAAAAAAAAGAAGAAAAAAAAAGATACTTACAGACGATAAATGCAATGATCACAAAAATTAACGAGAGAAAAAGTAAATAAAATTTCCAGATGTTTGGTGTGGCGGTTGCTTCTAATGGCCGATTGATCAGGGTTTTAGTTCGTGTCTCATTGCCACAGACTGTTAGGTTCAGTAAGTTGTTGGTATTTCTTTCTAGACGCAATAAAAAAAATAAATAAATAGATTTATAAAAGGAACGAAAATAATGTAAATAAAACTCAAAGTGAAACGAAAACTAGAAAAAGGAAAAGAATTGAAAAGAAATAAAGAAGCAAATTCAAAAATAAAAAGAAACCGGAAGGTGAAAATGCATAAGAAGGAAAATGAAAGACAACATGAAGTTTACAGAATAAAAACAATTAAAATGATCTAAAATCTGTTGTTAACTGGGGCAAGGAATGGCTTGTTAATTTTAACGCCTACAAAACGAAACTACTCTATTTTAATCATCTGAGAGAAACCTTTTAAGCCTCCATCAGTACGGATGGTGCTAACCTACAGAAGAATAACTCGTTGTGCTTTCTAGGACTAATGTTTTCCGCTGACGTGATCTGTAAAGTTTATATTGAATCAATTATATTGAATCAATTGCTAGATCTGCTGCTAGGAAATTTGGTTCACTATGTTGTGCTAGACAGTGTTTCTTGCCAGAAGCTATCTTACATATCTGTATGTCTACCATTCGTCCTTGCTTTAAATATTGTTGACAAACCTAGTCTGGTGCTCCTGCTATATATTTAGATATTCTTCATGAAATCCAAAGAAGAATCAGTAATAATGTGTTTTAATCTAAAGACTGTCATGGTAATTGTTCTGATCGACTTTCTTCTGTGGTACCTAGACTTTATGAATTTAAGCACAGTACTAGATTGTCGGTTAGGTCTCTTCGTTTTATAGTTGAAATTGCTAGATGTAACCGTAAGTTCTATGTAAACAGTTTCTTCTCTCACAATTCTCGCTTGTGTAGCTTTCTTCTGGCTTCCAGTTGTTGTGGCATACCTACCGACGATAACGGGTATGTCCCCATTCACATAAATACAGTAGTAAATACTGTATGTTGCTCTGTAGTCGGATATTCACCTCTAGCTGCGCTGGTCGAACTCTCTGCCTCGGGACAGAGAGGATCCCCAGACGAGGCTATGTCGAAGGGCAGATTCTCGTCTCGGGAAACAGTTACCCGACCCCGTTTTATACGGGTTCGACGGAGAATTTTTGGCTGAGCCTTGACTCACTTCTACGCTCCACTGGCGAATCTGATATGTGTTGGTCTTGTTCATTACCAACCTTAGGTTGATTATTCTATTCAGTAACCTTCTCTAGGTTACAACACCAGTGAACTTTGATCTTCAAAAATTTAAATGCAATGTCAATCGTTATCTTCTGTCTTCTTAATTCCCGTTCTTTTATTGTACTCTCTCATTAAGAGAGTTTTTTTTTTCTTATATTCTTTAATACTCAGTAAGCTCTTGCGTCTTAGAGGATTTATTATCTTGTTTGGGGTGAAATGATAAAAAAATAAATAAAAAATAGGGTGAATGATGAAAAACTCGAAAACTTACCAATGCTAAATATATCAGACTTTCGTCTTGAGCAGAAGGGATAACAGTTATTGTCATTTATTGGATATACCTGAAAAAAATATTAACGTTATTTTCAAATCCATTAAAAAGTCATCAGTACAGTTTGTTATTAATCCTGTAGGCTTTCCTCTAGAAATATAGCGCCACAGTCTCACCACACTACCACCACAGCCTTACTACACGAGGTGTTGCTGCTGTGGTTTGCATAACAGTTTATCTATAAGGCCTAGTTGTTTCCCCACGCCCAACCAATTTAGAAGGCGTATGGTCACATCACGTTGAAACCCCGGTGCCTGTACGATTACCGAAGTTAAGTAACATCGAGGCTGGTCAGTACCTGGATGGGTGACCACTTGGGAATGCCAGGTGCTGTAAGCTTGAATGTGCTGGCGGTGTAATGTATAATGCATCAGAATTTTTAATCGGAGATCCGGCTACAGAAACGGTTTCTCCTGATGGAAAAGGGGATACAGGTTCGGTTTCTGTCGAAGGCACAATTTTTCTTTAGTAAGATTTCTCAGTCTAGGCCGGTTGTTATTAATGTTACTGTTTACGACCCCCCCAAAAAAAAACAACAATATCAGGGATAGAAATTCAGATACGTGTACCTACTAAAAATAACGAATATAATATGTTTCTAGAATATTGGTTAGCTTGCCAGTGGTTTGACACACAAGTAGGCAAGTGTAGCCAAAGCTAAAACTGACTTGAGTCATTTCATGGAGAAATATATGGGTGAATAAAGACCACTCATGTAAATGTATTGGGCAGATCCATTCTAGCAAAATGGACCAACCTAACTGGTGTATTAGGCACTCTCCTATAAAATGAGGTAAAATCAGCTGGCTTGCTTTACAAGGAAACAAAAGAAGGCAGCCATGTTGGCAGGTAAGTCACTTGACTTCTACAATGTTGTATAGGAATAAAGTGTCGCTGCCGACACCGTAGTTTGAACACAGATTACCAGTGAGAAAACACGGACGATTCCATTATTAAATAAGTAGATCACATGAGTGTAAATGAAACATATAAATGGGAATTAGCATGATGTCTAAGTGATCGCTATTCTCTAGACCGATCATTATATGAATTACTATTCCCCGATTACTATTTGAACAAGTATTATTAGCGCGAGTATTATTCGAAGGCGTTATTATTACCAGTATCTCATTTACAAAGTCTCGTCTACAACGATCATTTCGGAAGTGATTACGAGAATTCGTTGACCTAACGGAAGTTAGGACGAGTGAGCCTCTAACATAACAAAAGTAGCGACGAGGATTCGTTCAACTTACACGGAAGGAAAAAATTAATCTGCAAAAAATATTCAGCCGAGTTCAGCAGAATGGAAGAATTAAAAGTCATCATGTTTCAAATGTTACAGCAACAAAAACTACAACAGGAACAACATTCGCAGCAACAAAAACAGCAACATAAACAGCAAATGCAATTACAATTGCAGCAAGTTTTTGGAGTTGTTCACTAAAACGATGGAAACATTCAGATTCGTTTACTCCTGATGCTGTCGTTAATTCAATCACCGAGTTTCAGTACTATCCGAATGAACGGATAACTTTCCCATCTTACTATATAAAATATGAAGGAATCTTCAAAAGGGATTGTTCGCATTGGAATGATGAAAAAAAAAAAGGTTCGGTTACTATTGGTGAAATTATCTCCTGCTGAACATGAAAAATATGTAAACTATATTTTGCCGAAGAAACCAGGAGAAATAACTTTTGATGAGACTGTCCTAACACTATCAAAAATCTTTAGTGATAGGGGTTCATTGTTTAATACACGTTGGCAATGTCTTAATTTAGTAAAGTCCGACGATAACGATTTTGTCACGTACGCAGCAGTCGTGAATAGAGAATGTAAAAAGTTCAAATTAAATGAACTCTTGATTTAAATGTCTGATATTCCTTCAGAGTTTAACATCTAAAAGGACGCAGAGATAAGATCCAGGATACTTTCTAAATTAGAAATGGATACAAAATTAACTCTCCAGAGAATAGAAAATGAGTGTCAACATAATGTGAATTTGAAACTCGATACCGCGAGGATTGAGGAAAAAGACAATTAACAGGTACATTGTGTCCGACCAACTAAGAGGAAAAAATACAAACGTTTTTCAATTCCTAAAAGAACTATAATGAATACTTGACACGGCTGTGGCAGCAAGCATTTTAAGAGTGACTGTTTTTTAAAAAGAACAAGAAATGCTATGAGTGTGGGAAATTAGGACACAAAAGTGCATGTTGCAGAGCCAAAAAATGGAGAAAAATAGAAAGCATGTGAACAGAATAAATACATGCAGTAACGATAAGAATCATAAAAGGCAAATTAACAACACTTCGCAAAAGAGGAAATTTGTTTTCTTGTAAATTAATGATGTGAAGATAAAATTGCAATTAGTCACAGGGTCGGATATCACTATTAAAAAATTAACAGACTTGGAGGAAAATGGGTAAACTCAGTTTATTAACTTATGATCAAGTTGCTTATAGAGTCTCAGGAAAGAGGTCAAATTTTGGGGGTAAATTCAACTGTAACGTTTCTTTTGTCGGAAAAACCAGAAGAGTGGTAGTTTTTGTGTTTTAAAAAAAATTCTGCTAATTTGTTTGGTACAGACTGGATTGCATTATTTGATCAGTGGGATCTCCCATTTAACTCTTTTTGCAGTAAGATATTGTTGCCAGTATTAATACAGCAAGTAAAAAATTGAAAAGTGAACTGAAAGTTTTTCAGAAGTTTTCTCTGAAGGCCTCGGGAGATGCACAAAAGCAAGAGCTAAGTTTCAGTTGAAAGACAACGTAACGCCTATGTTTAAAACAAAAAAGAGTTTAACTTTTGCGACTTTAGATCCAATCAACAATGAATTGGACAGGGTAGAGCAATTAGGAGTAATATCAAGAATAGATTATTCTGAATCGGAATCACCAACAGTCTAGATTAAGAAACAGAATAATAAAATCCGCGTGTGTATTGATTTTTCGACGGGATTAAATGAAAATTTAAAACAGCATAACTACTCGTTACCAAGTCATGGGGAAAGTTTTGCCAAATTGAATGGAGTTAAATTTTTCTCTAAAATGGACCTCTCAGACGCATACTTACAAGTACTTGTGGACGAAGACTGTTCAAAATTATAATTAACACCCATAGAGGGTTATAAAAATTCAACCCTCTTCTTTTCGGTGTAAAGGTAGCACCAAGCATATTTCAACAGATAATGGATACTATGCTTGCTGGGTTGGATTGTCCTCAACTATATTTGGATGACGTACTTATTAAAAGCAAGACCCGAAAACAACATGCTGAAGATCTAAAGGAAGTGTTTGAGAGAATCAAAGAATATGGCTTTAAAATAAGTGAAGAAAAACCTGAGTTATTTATGTCCAGACTCAAATATTTAGGGCAGATTATTGATGAGAACGGTAGACGACTAGATCCTTCAAGGGCGAGTGCGATAAAGGATCTTCCCGCTCCAACTAATATAACAAAATTACAAGCATTCTGTTATCTTACATATATACCTAACATGCACGAGTTGAGAGCACTATTGAATAACCTACTGAAGAAAGATGTTTTAATTAGCGTTGAGGACAACTCCTTCCTATTTTCTTCTTTTGCTTTTTCTTCCTTTTCTTCTTGAGAAAAATACTTTTGTCAACTTACTCAACTAGGAATTCTCTTTTTAAACTTTACTTTGCTTTCCGCTTCGGTTAGCCGTTGATTTCGATCCTACTTAATCGTAGAGCAAACCCAGGCCCTTTGCTTGTTGAGTAACTAACATTGTTTTGCTAATTTTCTAACACACCAAGTTCTGGTGTAGTTTCGGATCATCGCCATATTTTATTTTGCCATTTCCGGCATGCTCAGCTACTTTTCCCGACAATTCTTACTTGATGGTTAAATACAATGTTCGTATATTTCTGCCCATGCGTATCAAAATGTTTACTACGACGTCAACCTTCAATTTTACGCTTGGTCACTTCCGGTATGTCCGATTGTTTTTCCGCCATACAATTCTGGCCTAAGTCAACACCAATCAATATACAGACATCTTGAATTCATTTTCATGGATTTTATTCACTCAAGGATATCAAGTGATTTTATTCCTGCTGATTCAATGAACTTTGGTCTATTCTTTTTTCGGCGACACACATATTCCCCACACTGAACCAAATGAATTTACCGTTTCTATTAAAGGATTAATTCTTAAATCATTTGTACTGATATTAACGTCCAGGAGTTTTGTTATGAACTCTTCCCTTTTCACTTTTGTCCAGGACTATCTTGGTTTCGGCCTTTCATCGACGTTATTCAGCCATTAAAGTCTACGAGATATCTTGGAACTGCCATGCAATAGTTTTCGCCCAGGATAACGCCATAACTCGAAATTTCCTTCACGTTACTAACATTACTGAGTTTCTCTCATACAAACTCGTTCTTTCTTCGAGGACTCTATATCAAATACATGAACACTTCCGAAGGACATTTTTTGCATGCATTTGTTTTTTTGTACAAGGACGCTTACTATAATTTCACGAAAATAATACGCATTTTGTTTTTACTGTAAATTCCACGTGTTAGCAGGGGGTGCGTATTATAAATAGGTTTAAACAAAAATATTTTTTTCGTTATTGATTTATAATAATAAGTACGTACTTATTCTAAAATAAGAAAGATATTCCAATTTTAGTGACCTCCACTTTTTTGGCATAATTTTTCGATACCTAAGTTTAAAATGAATTTTTTAAAACGAAAAAACAATTCTTGAAGATTTCATTTTAGCTTTAATTGAAAGTTTAATAATTAATTTTATTATTTCCATTAAGGTGTATTTCAGATAGAAACTATATATATTGGAATGTCAAATTTAATTTCTTAAATTTTCTTAAAAGCGGCCATTTTCAGAAGAAATTTGTAAACAAACAAAAATTTATCGATTTTAAAAATATTTAAAAATTTTGACACGTTATTTTAGTAAAATTAGAAAATTTAAAGTTAAATTAATCTGATTTGAAAGAAATATTATTTACTAATAGCATGCGTTTGTTTACATTCCTTTTTTTGTACAAGGACGCTTACTATAATTTCTTGAAAATAATACACATTTTGTTCTTACTGTAAATTCCAGGTGATAACAGGCTGCGTATTATAAATAGGTTTAAACAAAAATATTTTTTCCTTATTGATTTATAATAATAAATATGTACTTATTCTAAAATAAGAAAGATATCCCAATTTTAGGGACCTCCACTTTTTTGACATAATTTTTCGATACCTAAGTTTAAAATGAATTTTTTAAAACGAAAAAACAATTCTTGAAGATTTCATTTTAGCTTTAATTGAAAGTTTAATAATTAAATTATTATTTCCATTAAGGTGTATTTCAGATAGAAACTATATACATTGGAATGTCAAATTTAATTTTGATTTCTTAAATTTTCTTAAAAGCGGCCATTTTCTTAATTTTAAGAAATTTGTAAACAAAGAAAAATTTCGATTTTAAAAATATTTAAAAAAATTTCTGACGTTATTTTAGTAAAATTAGAAAATTTAAAGTTAAATTAATTTAATTTGAAAGAAATATTACTTACTTATAGCATAAAAAAGTAATATACAACCAATTATTAACGATTGGTACTGTTCATTGAATCAAACGTTTGATGGACTGTTGATTGACGAAGCAATGACAGCTACTACGGATGACCATAAGTGAAAATTATTAGAAATCTGAGTGAACGCTTTTTTTTTTTTTTTAGTTTTACTGCTATGTTTATTTATTAGAATAAAGGAACAAAACTCTTAGATCACGTGACCTTTTTATAATGATGGCAATTTCAGTGTACCATATATGTAAATAATGAACGTATTAAGTAAAAAAAATACAAAATAAAAATTATTTTAAAAATAAAATAGCGCAACTGCGTTTATTAATTTTTTCCGTTTTGGATTCGTAAATTTTGTTTCCGCTTAATTACTATATGACATCCAGGAAAATAGTCTAATACAAAATTTTACACGATTTTAAACTATTATAAATTATTATAATTAAAATTAAAAAAAAAAATGAAAAAATCTTGTAAAAATTCATCATTCATCAGAAAAATGTTATTTCTTCAGATAATAATGTCCTTAATATTAGTTATTTACAAAAGGAATTAAAAGCTTTTCTAATTAATTAATATCATAGTTTTATTGGATTCATTATTTTTCAATTCAGAGCAGATTTTCAGTTAGATAGCTCAAATTTGAAAAAAAAAAAGTAGGTGATTTACAATCTCCAAAGACTCCACTTTCAACCAAAAAAAAAAAAAAAAAAAATTCAGGAAATAAAAAGCTTTTGTGCAAAATTTCATGAAATTAAGTAAGGCGGGGTTAACATATTTAAAAAAAAAATATTTTACCAAAATCTTCTAAAAAATGAGAATTTGAAAATAATTTCATTCATTTGTGAATAAGTCCTGAAAATTTCATTAAAATCGGACAATTACTTGATTTTTACAAGAATTTCCAAATCACTGTGTTTTCAACGGAAAAAAAGCGCAAAAAAAACTGTTATTTTCATGTCACCGCGATGACGTAAAACAAAAGAAGACTTTAACCAAAATTTCGAACGTGTTAGAAAGGATTCAAAAATTTCAAAAAATAATTAAAAAATACTTTGGTTTTTCATCTTAATAATAGCATAAACATTTTGACGATAAAACTTTATTTTCGTTAAGTTTGTGGCCTTATTCATTACGCTATGCTGTTTTCCCGCTAAAAACGGAGGTACCTACCCAATTTTCATTTTAAATCCAACAATAATAATTGCACCATTTTTTGCCAATAAATTTATGTTTATCAGTAACGGCATTTTTCATTTGGCGAAAAAGGATAGTTGTGCTTTTTTCTTAGCTAAATAACAAAACGCTGAAAATTCAAAAGCTTATCTTTGTAGCCATCAGGCAAACGCTAGGCTATGGATGTACTTTTCCTAATAGATATATCAAGCCTCTTCATAAAAAGAAAACATCATCAAGCCTCTTCATAAAAAGAAAACATCAGTTTGCTGAAGCTTTAAATGTGTTTTTAGGATAGATGGTTTTCATAAGTTCTTTTGTCTTCATCCTTGTTTCCACAGTACTTACGGAACATCCACTTGACCATCTTTCTTTCACAAATTCAACTAAACTTTGTTCCATATCTGGATATTGAGCTTTTCTTCCTCTACCTATAGCTTTGGCACTTGATTTACACCTTTTTCTAATTCTTTTTAATTTTTTCTCCATAAACGTATTTTAGCCTCATTCAACTGATATTCTTTAACTGCAGCTCTATTTCCAATTCATTCTGATAATTCTATTACTTTTTGTTTAAAATCTTACTTATTATAAAACGCAGATTGTGTATGCGTATGTGTGTGTGTGTCTGTACGTTTATATATTGGATCGGATTTCCTACATTTTTCAACCGATTTCAACAAAACTTCACAGGACTGCGTAAAATTACCTTGCGGTGGTTCTGAAAGCGCCCAAAATTGGAAAAACACAATTGTTTTAGCACGAAACCAATTTGAAAACATAATAAAACACGATTCTGTCGCCAGAATGAAAGGGGGACAACTCATATCAAGTTATACTTATAAAACCCAGGTTGTGTGTGTGTGTGTGTGTGTGTTCGTTTATATGGGATCGGATTTCCTACATTTTTCAACCGATTTCAACAAAACTTCACTTTTTTTTGGCAGGTTGTGTTTCTTATTGTCTTGCACACTTTTTTCTTTATTTTTACATTCAGGATGCTTTTAAAATTCCATTTACAATACAATGGTTTATAATAAAATGCTATTCAATCGATAGACTCATAACGATTGTAAACAATGTTTTTGTTTGAGTTTGGGTTTGACTAATTCATAAAAAAAAAAACAAAAAAACAAAACAAAACAAAAAAAAACTAATTAAGACATGCATGTCCGTCAACCTTAAACAATAATCTTTGTCAATTTTATTTTTCAGTCTTCATGATGGTCGATATTTGATCTATCTCTTACTGTTACATCCCCGGGCAACGCCGGGCTCTACTACTAGTCATCACTATAACTCACACATTTTGACGACATATTGGCGGTAAAATAAAATGTTATATTTATCGGGATAACCGCCTGGTAATTTTCAACATTATTTTAGCCGCTTAGTTTCGATTTTATTCTTAATGTCAAAGTCGACAAAATGTCTTCGTAATTATTTTTTTTTTTGGCAAAATTTATAGATGCGTATTATACATAGGGACAGATATATTTCTTAATTTTTGGATCATTTGTTGGTGTGCGTATTATTTATGGGTGCGTATTATTTTCGAGAAATTACAGTAATTAATCAATTGCATAAACATTCTTACCACGCATGGCACATAACTGACTAACTATACAGACCAACAGGGTTGTTATAGTTACGATATTTCGTCCGTTGTACGCTCCGGCCTCCATCAGGTGTCTGCTCTAGAGGCAGGCATTGCTATTTAGACCAGCGTGCTAATCTAGGTTGTATTACAACGTTTCACCCGTTTTTACTCCATTTGCAATTTTAACACAGATGGTAGCAACTCTAAGCAAATAACTGAAAAGGTGCGACTGAGAAGAAATGGTTAACAACCACTGTTGCAGGGAATTCTGCTAGGTCAACCAAGAGTTGTTCCCTCAGAGGTCATCAACGGCATGAAAATTATAAAATAAGAAACCTTATACTTACAACGATAGTATAGTCTCCATTTTTGAGATCCGTAAAATTGGCTGAAGTCTGTAAAAAAAAAAAAAAGAAAAGCTATCAACAGCATTACGACATTTTGTGAACATACAAACGGGCCCCTCCCCGACTGGACAAATCAATCCCCACATTGTGTTTCCCTTCTCTGTGTACCGGTGTGTACAAAGACTTATAAAGATTCACAGCACATTAACAAGAAAAAAAGAAAATCAAGACACAAATCCGGTTCTCAGTAATTTGTTAATTTCAATAGTGTTACCCCAACTCATTGCTCCTTCCCCTGCCCCGGGTCGAACCTAGTATTCTCTCTGGTAGTAGATGGGTGGCACATAGGTCCTTTCGATTCTTCATCTCTATCGACGGACGGCTCCTTTCTTTGTTTAAGCCCAACTTATATAGGGCTATAGAACCCAGTCTGTCCTGCTATTTACCTATAGTTGGGAGGAGAAGAACAAGATTCAGAATGGATCCGACTGGAATTGAATATATATATATATATATATATATATATAATTAAAAGAAAAACAGACCACTTTAAGGTACCATTATAATAATTTATTTCACCAGAGTCCTTTTAAAGGACGCCGGATCATCAGATAGCACTTCCAAAAATGAAATGAAACGAATATATATATATATATATATATATATATATATATATATATATATATATATATTATAAATCAACTGATTTAAAATATGTTTTTTCGCTACACAGTAATAACCACGTTTCAAAAATGGAAGCTAAAGGATTCGAATTTGATTTTGTAATTAAAATAAAACCATTAGTTCCATTTCATCCTCAAGCAAATTTTGGAGTAATATTTATTCGTACAATAGTAAAAAAAATTTGGCACACGGCCAAAAAGGGGGTTGGGGAAAGGACGGTCTTCTTCTGTCCTAATTTCTAAACTTATCTAGTCACAAACACTGACCCAAACATCCCAACAATAGTCCTATCACCAAAACAACACATTCTCTCCTAACTTTCTTATCACATCCACCATAATACCTCAATGTCTCTATGAAATCCTAACTATCCCCATATGTACTGTGGGGCGAGGGGAATAAAAACAACTATTTAAAAAAGCCCAATGATTATTTACAATATGAATTGATAATATTTAGATGAAAACAAAACACGGCTAGTAATAAAAAACCCACAATCCCTAAATATGGCAGAAACATCAGTTAACTGGGCGAAAAAATTGCGGGATTATAATAATATAAAAAAATAACAATCATTCATACAAAAACACTAACACAAACACGCACTCATTCACTCACAGCAAAAAATACGAAAACACACACGCGAAACGAAAGGCATCCCACATCCACCAGCGAACTGGCATCACTGACCCCCTAACGAGGGAGGGGGTGGGGAATTAAACTAAAGAAAAATAGGGACAGAAATAAAAGGGGCCAATGAGCATACATACCCTAGCTAAGTTAACCGGAAAAAGGAAAGTAAAAATTCAAATTAAACCAAACCTAGCCTAATATCGAGACGGGTTGCCTCTGTTCAACCCAGGAAGGGCAAAATCCTGTACCTAACCGGCATCAAAGTGCCACTCCAGGTCAACCCCTTTCACTCTACACAGTCGCGCAAGATTTACCCACTTTTTGTCGAATTCAGATAAAAAGAGTCACCGCCTTTCCGTCCGAGTCTTGACTTTAAGCTGATGTTTAAAGTACAAGATCAGTTTGGAAGAAGTGAACTTCACGCCTCCATAGAATCCCTTCTGACGTGTCGACCAAATCACGACTCCCATAATACCTAGCAAGCAGTGGAAAACATAAAGTTCAGTCTTCGTCAACGGCGGTGTCACATTGCTACAAACAGAAGAGGCCTCAAGGACAAAGAATTTTCCCTGCAGCATGCGAACCATGAGACCTTCAACGAACTTACACAACGGTGCTACCAACCTGCAATGAAAGAAAACGTGACCAAGGGTCTCGGCTTCCCCATCACAGAGTCGGAAGTTTGGATATTTCTCCAAGCCCGCTGCGCAAAGCTTTTTAGCGACCCAGAGGGCCCCACGCATCACCAGCCAGGTGAGGGATGCCTCATCGTTATTGAGACATTTCAACCCGGGCGCCCAAGACCAGGCTGAGCGAGCCTCCTGCTTCGTAAGACCGAACTCGTCAATCAGATCATTATGAACGGACCCCATGACTAACACTTGATATAATGCCCTACGAGACAACGCCTGGACGTTGAAGAGGCCATCCGACGCCCGTAAGAGATGTTTTAGAGCAAGACGACATTCACGGTAGAAGGAGCATTCGGCTCGGGGCGAACAGTGGGCCTCCTCCTCGCACGAGTGCACACTTCTTAAGGATGGGAAATTTCTATGGGCGTCTTCCTTCCAGAAGGCACCCTCCTCATCCGATTCGCGACACAAACGATCTAGGAACCCGATGCGAAGCATATCAAGACGAAATTCAATGCTAGGCATACCTAGACCGCCTTCAGATGGATGAAGGCAACAGATCTCCCTAGATACCCTAGCAGCTTTGTCTCTCCACAAGAAAGAGAACAAGAACCTTACTAATAATATTAGTGTGGCAGACGGAAGTGGAAGTACAGAGAGTCGGTAAGGAGAATCGGGTAGATATGTGAAATACATACTTCCGCCCTTCCCTTCAAGGAAAGATTCCTCCGAGACCACGAATTAATTGCTATCTTGGCCTTCCCTTGTACCTCCGACCAATTCATTCCCAACTGGATATCAGGACCGAACCAGACGCCGAGTATCATGACCGGCCCATCCGTCCCGTGGAAAGGTCCGGGAAGAGAAACTCCCTTCCACGCACCCAGCCGCAAGCCAACAGACATCGCGGTTGATCTTGGCCCTTGTCACCATCTCATAACCACTGATTTCTTTGCTGTCTTCATTAATCTCGGCTCTGCTCGACACAAGAACCGAAACGTCATCAGCATTGGCAGAATACCTGGCCGAGGTGGTAGCACCAGGAAGGGAAATTCCGCGTAGGACCGGATTCGCCTTTAACTTGCGAATGAAAGGTTCCAACGCAAGAACGTAAAGCATAGGCGAAAGCGGACAACCCTGACGAATAGATCGAGACAATACGAAAGATTCCGATCTTATCCCATTCCCTTCCACCAGCACACCGGGATTCGCATATAGAAGACGGATCCAGGAGCGAAAGTCTGGCCCGAAACCGGCAGCCGAAAGAACAGCCTCCAGGAATCGATGGTCAACCCTCTCAAAGGCCTTGGACTGATCTAAATTGATCAGCGCGGCTTCACTGTCCACTTTCTCTATGATCAGGCCTACTATATGAAGGTTGTCCTGAATAGTCTTGCCCTTCACAGCACAAGTCTGTTCGGAGCCAATCAGACGAGACAGGAAGCTGCAAACGGTTGGCTAAGATCTTCGCCAAAATCTTTGACTCTGTATTTAACATAGTTAAAGGGCAAAAATTACCTATCCCATCCCCACTTTTTTTGTCCTTACGCAGCAACTTGATCACACCACTGGTGAAGCGTTGAGGTATTGACCCCTGCTTCATCCAGTTGTTGAAAATCAGTTCCAGCAAGGGAACAAAAATGGGCGACTGCCTCAAGTAGACTTCGTAGGGAAGACCTAATCCCGGAGATTTATCCAGGCCAACCTGTTTCAATGCTTCCCAGATTCCCGACTCTGTGATGGGACCCTCGCACCCAGCCGCTTCAGCTGTCTCAAGGCAAGGAAAGTCGGCTAAATAGGCGTCGAACTGAGCAGGGCTCAGACCGGGCTCCCTGGTAAAAAGATCCCGAAAATAATCCCGAAAAGCCTCACATATGCCCGTGTTTATAGTCACGGTCCGCTTATCCGGCAATGTGACGCACGAGATATGCCGCCGTGATGCATTCCTACTTTCCTCTGCACGCAATTCTGTGGCCATATTCGTCGCCTCAGAGGACATTCTTTTCAACCTAGCCCTAACTACCAGAGCTTGATCCTTCTTGATAAGCAATGAGGCCAACTCTGCCTTAGCTAAGGCTACTTCCCCACTTTCATGGGACTTAACTGCCTGGTTAACTTTCTGCTCTAAAGCCGTTTGCGCCGCTAATCTATCTAGAATCGACGACTAAAATCGGCAGCAAACGATCGAATTTTAGATTTTAATTTGTCCCACCAGGCATTTCCCACCACAGACCCCGTCAGTTCCCTTTGTAACATTAGTAGCAGCTGGTCCCGGAATTCCTGCTCACCAAATATGAGCAGTTGAATTTCCAGTAGCCAGCCATCCTAACCTTAGGCTTATCTAAGTTTACACGGACCCGGACAAGCCTATGATCCGAATAAACTATATAATGGAAACTTGGACACCCTAAGAGCCCTACATCGACTCTCCTAACTAAAACTCGGTCGAGGTAGCTAGCACCCCTGAGGGTGCTCATTCCGGTATTTGTCGACAAGATCAAATCCGTCGACAAAGTCGCGAAAAGGTTTCACGTCCCAGTTGTTAGTACCCGAATATGAATTTGACCCTATACGATCTATGTCGGGGTCAAGGATGGCATTCCAATCGCCCGCTAAAACTACCCGACTTGAAGTCATAATAAACGGCCCGATCTGCCGAAACGAAGCAGGCAGCTCAGTCTGGATATTGGGCCCATAAATCCCAATGAGATGCAGAGCCTTATCCTTTATGGTAACATCCAGCACGCAAAGTCTGCCCACCGGATCTGCGAAGACAAGAGCACACGCAGCCTTCAAAGACTTGCTCACCAGTCAAGAGACACCCCTCGAGCGTCCATCAAAACATGCTGAATAAAGAGAAAACCCCTTAGACAGAATGCCTTCATAATCGCGAGAAGAAAAACGGGTCTCTTGCACACAGCATATTTTCACCCCTAAGCGCTGAAGGTCGCTCACCCTTCGAGACTCCGACCTCAGGCCTCGGGCATTCATACTAGCCAACCAGAGAGACATTATCAAACCAATTAGGGTTGTTCACCAGAATAGAACATGGCCGGGGTGAGGACACCGACAGCCCGTTCCATTGAACCAGACACCATCTTAATTTCGACGGCATCATCATGAGACAAGCCGCCGATGTCCGCAGGATACGTTAGTTTAAGGGGTCTATACAGGGATGGGTGAAGAAAAACGGGGACCCTCTCTTTACAATGATCTTTTGTTTCCGCCATCTCTGGGTCAAGTGGGTAGGCCGCTGGGGGCACCAATTTCAGAGACGCGTTTGCCTCCTCTATTATGCCCCAAATCTCCTGCGTACCCGGGCCAGCTCGAACGACGGTCAGCACCCTCTTAGCATTTTGGAAGTTTTCGGGCATGTCTATTCCATTTATGTGGCGGAAATTCTACAACACTTTCAGTGGTTTTGGGTTCCTTTGTCTGCCCGCAAACCCTTTCTGCTTGTTCCCGGGATACGCGGCAGACGTCTTACCCTGCCGAGATATGGCGGCTTGATTTTCTTTTTCCTATTCACCAATGAGACTTCCCTTCTGGACTTGTTCCTCTTTTTCTGACGAGATTGAGTAGGAGTCTGAGTAGGGTGTTTTTTTTTTTTAGTGTTTTTGGAGTATAAGTGGGTGTAATGCCGGAAGTGTTCTTAAAGGGGGGAAATTTGAAGAAGTGTCAGTGGGTAATGTGGGCGAAGACCCAACCATTAAATAAAACGCATTCTAACCTAAACATACCCCCAAAATCTTTAAGTATACAAATAGAAAAAATGCCGAAAGAATTTTTTGCCGTTAACAATAAAATTTAAAAAAAAAACAAAAAAAAACAGACGACATGCATTTAACGAATGTCAGAATTCGTTGAAAAATACATCCCCGCCCTACCTAAACATAACCCCTTTTTCGAACGTAACTAATAACTGATACAACAAAAGTTAATAAAAATGAATACGCTAACACCCCTTGTCTGAATGATTAGATTTCTTTGTATCCTTGGAAACAGTGATTTATGAATTTTTCTGTGCTTTTAAAACTCAGTAAATTTAAAAAATAAGTTACTCCAAAATTCGATTGAGGATGAAATAGAACTAATGTTTTTAATTTAATTACAAAATTAAATTCGAAGCTTTTAGCTTCCATTTTTGAAACATGGTTATTACTGTGTAGCGAAAAACCATATTTTAAATCAGTTAATTTATAATATTAATGCTCTGTAAATTTACATTGAGCACTATTTTGTAAAAATAAAAATATCAATAAGAATACCAGATTATATATATATATATATATATATATATATATATATATATATATATATATATATATAAAGGGGAAATAAGAACAAAGATATGATAGAAATTACACATCATAATGTCTTGTATCGAAACAAAAAGAAAATGCGCTTCGATCTTCAAAGCCAATCGTGAACAAAAACATATATACATGTGCACAAAGAAAAATTTCTACAGACTAGATTTAGACTCAATAGTTGTTCTTTCTGCTTACAGAAATAAGCCTGCTTAGACTCTCATCCACAGGTTCCACATGTTTTTAATCATTTCACTCCAAACAAGATTTTTATTGCTGGTAATATTTTTTTAAAAAAATGTATTGCTTGTATTAAAACCTATTTTTACACTTTCATAGTGTTTTGACCTCAGTTGGGGGCTAACTATTTGCCCATAGCTGGGACTCTAACAAGCGCTACCACGCTGGGTTAGGGCCGATCTGGAAACATCAGGAATTAAGAGGTGGTTCCACGCTCCTCAAACCTCTTGATGTTGCTACCGGATGTAGTTTATCGTCATACCCAGGACGCCTCATCTGTAGAGGTGCAGTCAGCGTATTCTGAAGCCCCAACCGACAGGGCGGCCAAGCAAGGCGGGAATGTCACTAGTCCGCAGAAGAAGCCAGTTTTTTTTTTTTCATTCGAATGACGCCTTCTGAGTTTAATAACGAACCTAGATATTTAGACATTCTTTTTCCATTTTCCATTTACTGTCTCTACTCATGTGAAACCATTCGGTTTTTCTAGAGTTCACGTACAGCTCTTCATAGTTTTAACATTTGAGGAATAATCCTTGAAGAAGCTTGATATCTAATAAGTGCAAATCTAGTTAAAATAGCCCCATGAGCTGCACAAATAAGTGAAATAAAAAAACATTAAGGGTTGTTATGAATAATCAAGAGTGATCTCCCCTTGTTTTCTTACTCTCCTCTTTGAGAGAGCTATTTCTGTTTACTGGGACTATAAAAGGACACTATATGTGAACCTTGTATTGTCAGTTGAATAAAGCTTTCTTAAAGCCAACACCAAGGATATAAACTTTACTTACTGTGTTTGTTTGTATTCGAAGAATGTTCCTTTTCTTAACAGCATCATTTAACGAGACAATGTAGTCAACAAAACCATATTCTGGTGGCGCATGCTCAAACGTTACATGCGCCATCCTGTTTCTGTCATCAACAATCACGGATAAGCAAGTCTTCCAGCGACGGATTTTATCTGAATAAGAAGTAAATAAAGATAAATAATTTTTATTTCATTAATTTCCTACAATAAAATACTTTTTTTATTTTATGTTTTCTGTTTTATAGAAATATACAAAAGATTTTAGTGAATTTCAAAGACGGTATTTAGATATCTGTCTATAAATTATTCAAACATACATGTGTCATTTTGTTCCACTACCTTTTATCATCTTTGAGGCAGCATCATATTTCCATCTTCCCAGAACTTGGCCATTTTATCTTTAGATTTATTTAACCTATATGTTCCATTTTGTTCCATTAATTTTCGCCATCTTTGAAACGGCTTAATGATTCCATTCTCCCAACAATTGGCATCTTTCTGAGTAATGAAATGATAGGAAGAAAAGTTTGTAGTGTTTTTTAAGTGAATTTCAAAGACATTCGTTAGATATGTGTCTATAGATTTATTCAACTCCATATGTTCCATTTTGCGCCACTACCGTTAGCCAACTTTGTGGCAGTTTCATGAACCAGTGCTCCCAGAACTTGGTCATCTTTCTGGTTGATGAGTTGATTTTTAAAGACTCCCATGGACTTGAAGGTATTCTCATGAACAGAATGTTGTAGGGATCGAAAACAGCGGTAATCCAAAGTTAAACAGTCAAATGAGTACGACAATTAAATTGAAACATTACCTGTCTAATTGAGAAGGAGCCACCAATTCCGGTCCCTCATTGTTGTAAGCAATCCATTTTTCATCGTCTGTGATCATTCTTTTCAAAGATAGGTAGTTTTTTTATGTTTGAGTAGAGAATCACAAATAGACATTCGGTCCACTAAATTATTTCCGTGAAATTGTGAGTTGCCCAAACATCGTAGCGAATCTAGCATCGAAGTGTTTTCAAATGCCTTACACCCAGATGAAATATACGGATTATCTCTTCGATACCCCGTGTTTGTGTGACCTGGATTATTTTTTAATCGACTTTTCGATTTGGCCATCATCAACGACTGCATGTCTAGTAGAACGTTCTCAGTCTCCCAGATAAAATTTCCCACTTCTGAGCCCATCGAACTACTTAGGAACAATTCTCTCAGCTACGTGACCATTTCCATAAACAGCACATCTTTTTTTGCTGTTTGTACAGTGTTTTCTTTTTTTTCCCTTTCCGGTAATAAAAGAGTATCAAATTTCGAAAATACATATCATTTTTTAATATTTTCACTTCTATAATTAGAAGATTTGAATTTCACAATTCGCATACGATTCGTATTCGTTCGAAAATACGCTTTTAAGTAGGCGCGCAAGGGGGTCGTCTGTGATGTTTTGATTTGGTTCATCAGGGAGTTTCGGGTCTTTCAACATCATACTCCCCATCACCAAATCGACCCAATCAGGGGAGATCACCCCTGATTGCCCTCACGATTAAACGCTAACAGCTACTCCGGCCTTTTTAAAGAATAAGAGGAAGAAAGACATCATATTCCGCGCATCCAATTGGATGTTTGTAACAACCAATCTGCTGCGCGAACTAATTATGCATTCTCTCCCAGAAACTGCAACTAAAGTCCGCTCTGCCTAGTCGCAGTATAAACCACGGGTAGACATCGTGAGTATTGAACAAACTGCTGACGACTGAAACTAATTGCGTATCCGCTCTAGCAGTCGGACGTAACCGGAAACGTATAGTCAGTCAGTATATAGTAGCGTACTGAACAGTAAATGTAATTACCAAAGGGGTAGAGTAAGTACAATAATGTATTTAGTTTCAGGTGACAACAAAGCTAAACATTGATGATTTCTGATTGCTGATCTATATTAACAGTCCCTCTTGGGATCAATGTCCCCCGTTTAGGTTGAGATGGGCAGAGAGTTAGTAACAGGAAGTACTGATCTGTTAAACTGACATGACAGTTGTCCCAAGTGTTGCCTACCATTCCACCCAAATTATGCAAGCGAAGCCCTGAAGAAGGCACCAAATTATGGTGGGGCAGAGCAACTTGCTTATTTAAATTTGGCGCCCTAATGCGATGGTTGCTCCAAGGATGGTAGGGGTGGACTTATTTGAGAGGGTGGGGCTTAAAGTTTGGTTCTTAACGTGCGTTATTTATTTTTTGTTTATTTTTCAGGAACCCCAGTGAGCATCATGGGTGGACGAAGTTGGAACGCACTTTCGCTGTTGAGGCATTTTTTCAAGTGGTCGCTTAATCGTCGCAAAGAAACGAGCATTCAGTAGACATTTCAATATTGCCCCCCCCTCCCCGTGGTCGTGTTCCTGGCCGGCAGTCGATTGTTTCATGGGTAAACAACTTCAGGGAAACGGGTGATGTAAAGAAAAGAAACCTGGCCTCCCACCAACAGCAAGGTCACCCCAAAACATTGACTCAGTGTATAGAGAAGAATGGACGCCATCTTACTGATATCATCTTTAAAACTGGTAAAAAATAAAATTTAAACGTTGAACTAGTTGCAGTTCAAAGAATTACATGTATACCTGCATTACTTGCGTTTTTAATTGATATTCCAAATAAGCAAGTTGCTCTGCCCCACCCTGTATTAGAAACAGGGTCAAATTCTAATTTCTTGCTATGCTGTTTGTTCTCACCTTTCATTTCAATAATCCAAGCATGCGATATCTGCTAGATATGGCAGTGTTTCTATGATTGGCATATGCACATAAAAGATAAAAGTATTTCTGTTTTATGGCTAGCATATGCTCAATATTAGAGGATAATGTTTGCAGATATAAACAGAGTTGACACAGGAATCAACACTGCATTGTGACCGTCAGTTTCACAATCTAAAGGTCATCAGACCGTATGATGATCACTTCAGGTGTGAGACTGGTGGTCAACATGCAGTGTTGATTTCTAAGTCCACAGATTTTTTTAAAAGTTTTCTACAGGATTGAATTTTTTTTATTCTTCATTTTTGTAAAGGTTGGGAAAAAAAATGATAATCCAAACATGCAATATCTGCTGGATATGGCAGTGTGACACTATGTTCGGGACTTTGGGACACCCACATAAAAGTGGAAAGTGAGATCTTCTCTCTATTTCAAGTGTTTCTGTTTTATGGCTGGCAGATGGTGTTTTTGAAACCGGATCTTCTAAGTGGCATCCACTTGACCAAAGGAGATTGGATAAATAAAATAAAGTATTTGGGGTCATGTGGCAACAAAGCTAAACATGATGATTTCTCATTGCTGGTCTATATTAACAATCACAGTTTGGATCAAGGAGACTAGTTCTGTTCCACTCTTCATAAGTCAGGGTAGGGAAGAGACTGTCCTTTAGGTTATTCCAATGCTGCCCATTTGTGTGAGAAGCCACATGTTGTTATGAGATGGACAGAGTTAGTAGGTAGGAAGTATTGATCTGTTAAACTGATATGACAGTTGTCCCAAGTGTTGCCTACCACTCAACCCAAACTGTGCAAGTGAAACCCTGAAGAAGACACCAAAGTATATTAGAGACAGGGTTCAACTTCTCATTTCTTGCCATGCTGTTTGTTTTCATCTTTCATTTCAATGGGAATGTGCAGTGGGGGCTTCCTAGATTTTTGATGTATGCTGATGTGAATGAGAATAGAGAAACTTTATAGGGTAGTGATTGATAAAAAGCTGGGTAAGGACCTTGTATGTTTCCAGTAGACAATTGAAAACATTTCTACTGACCTGTAAAGATTTGTGTGTGCTCACCAAAGAAACCTTCTTCCTTTCCAGCCTGTGTCCCTTCTGGACGTAGGCGATCATGGCTCTCCACTCCCTCCTGTCCCTTGTAGCACTTTTGTCTTTTTGTCTTTTCTCCCAAACCCTATTCCACCATCCATTTACTAAAGCCCATCAAGTATGTTATGCACTGCTTTCTTCTGAACCTATTTTCCTATCTGTCTTGTGAGTATTAGATTTTCCAAGTCCTCTTTCCTCATTACGTTCCCAAGAAAGTGTTTCTGTTTATGACCAACAGATGGTGTCTTTAAAATCAGGCCTTCTAAGTGGTACCCACTTTACCAAAGGAAATGGAATAAGTAAAATAAAGTATTTGGGGTCAGGTGACAACAAAGCTGAACATGATGATATCTCATTGCTGGTCTATATTAAAAGTCACAGTTGGGATCGAGGAGTCCAGTTCTGTTGGACAGACTTGGGCAATTCCTTGGGTTGCCCCACGCCGTTAGGTTTAGGTAGGCAAAGATTTATTAGAAAGGAAGATCTGATATGTTGCACTGACATGACTGTTGTCCCAAGTGTCGCGTACCTCCCCACGTGGAATCTAGATTTGAAGCATATCTGTTTTATGGAGAGCGGAGGTCGTCTTTTTGAAGTCGAGTCTTCTAAGCGACACCCACTTGACCGAAGGAGAACAAAAATACAAATAAGTAAATGAGAGCAGTTGAGGTCAATTAACAACATTGATGATTTCCGTTTGCTGGTGTATATTAACAATCAGAATTGTGATCGAAGGGGTCAGTTCTGCCCCCCCGACAGAGGATAAACTGTTCCTTGCGTAGATCCGATGACGCTTGTTCGTACTGCCAATCACACGTCGTGATCGGCAGTGGGTTGGTAACAATAAAGAGCTGACCTGTTAAACTACTGATATGGCAGAACTTGTCCCAAGTGGCACTGCCTTGCATTTCTATACTTGGCGTTTGTTTTATCTTTCGTTTCCTTGTGAACGTACAGCCGGTATTTTCCAACTTTTGGTGCACACCGACGGGGACGAGGACAGAGACGCAACGTGGGTTAGTTATTTGCTTGGTCGGTAGAAAGGAAACGTTTACATAAATATCAGGGTTTTAAGTCAATCCGTGAAACGAAATCACGGGTTCAAATGCCACCTATTGAAAAACAACACAGATTTCTATCCCAACCAGATTATTTCACATCAAATAACCAGATACAGACACATTTAAAATGACAGATCAATATATCGATTTTACAAGGAAAACCAAACTGATTTGTAAATCTCTTAGGAGTGTTTCCAGTGTTTTTGTTAGTCTCTATTCGTTTTTTTTTTTTGGTTTTAATT